AGATTTAAAAGAATCGACTGTGACCATTACGAAGCAATGCCCATTCAATCGCTGTTCTTGTTCTGGACAGAGGCTTCGGAACTGTCCTTTCTCAATGTTGTGTAGAGTACATCAGGTTCTTACCTCCTTCCAAAATCAATTTGGAATAATGTGATATTGATTACAATATAGGAAGGGGACCTCTTAAGAAAGAAAAAAAAGATTGACCACATAATGAATTTCATACGTCAATGCTTACTAAAGCTAATAGTTTCATCGTTTATTGCGTCTAAGAATAATGTATACTGCAAGTAACAATTGGAGAAGTGTTAGCCTACTATTTCTGTCAAGAGAAAAACAATGGGCCATCTCAACATTCCCTGAGAATTGCTAGGAAACTAACACTGAATGAGGTAGAGCTAATGCACCCACCACATTATCAACAGTTGTATATGTTAACTATTTTAACAATGAAAAACATTATGTTAAACATTATTGTAAACAATCAATTTACAAAAGAATTACGGATACTTGAGATCGAAATGCAAAATAATGCAACAATCTAATACTTCAAAATGTTAACTGATAAATCATATTATATATCTAAAATAGGGTTGTTATTCTGCGTATACTTCATTTTATGTGCTGGAGTTCAGCCGGTTCGAATCGGTTCGCGCGAACTGGTTATTAAAATCATTGTGATACGTAGAACGAGTTGAAATTTATCACAATGAAGTTGTTACAATTATTGTAGCTGTGAATAACCAATTTCTGATTGCAGCGATTTCTCTTTATTTGATCCTCATGCTGAGCGAGAGGCAACTAATTTTGTGAAATTCTGGTTTCGTTTTGGACACCATACGACTGCTGACACACGCATCAGAAAGGAATACAGAATATTCACAGAATCAACTACCTTTGCCATCACTTTTTCAAACCTTCCAGAATTGTTAAGTTCTTAAATTACTGAATCCATAAACCTTCTATTGTTGCATTAAAACTTCTATAGAGGCATGTCATCTCATTTAATGAAATATTTATTCTAATAAAAAAAGAAGTGATTGGAAATAACTGGAAAGAACCGCTTGTTAAAAAAATTGAATGCAACACTGTTTATTCGTTTTTTTTAAAGAGATTAATTTCGCGAAGAGAGCAACGTAATGGAATTTGTATTCAAACTTCTCAGAATTCACATCTCAATCCCCCCCCTCACTCGCTGTTATTTAAAACTGAAACAGATTTTAGTACCATTGCTGATGAGTAAATGATTTTCTCGTAACTTCACGAAAGGCTTCTTCAATAAATATAGTCAGAGATTTCTATATGAATATACACGTAATATGGACCTCAAAGACAATTGATCATTATTTTTATCCTAATGTAGACGATTCTAGATGTTGTGAACTGCGAATACCAAACGGAAGACACTGGCTCCGATCCACATAGGGTATATATGTATTATGCACTAAAAGATTTTTTTTTTTTGGTAACATTTATGGTAATTGAAAAGGATTGAAAGCATTCTAAGCAAATCCATTATGCGAGTTGGTACAGCTTAGTCTTTTTTGAGGCGATCCAGAAGTTGAAAACAAGTGAAATCGACCTAGCTAGGACATTGCGAATGCGTTGAAAGGACATTTAAAAACAGAAGAAAAGCGAGAAGAGGAATTGGATACAAAAATGGAAAAAGGCGGTAGTGCAAGAGGCATTAAAGAGTGCTATGGTTGCAAGATATTTAAAGTGTGTTGACAATGTAGAATAAGTGAGAAGAAAACACGGCGGTATTGAAATTTGGAATTCGTATTGATTCGATACTTTACTGCATGTAGCTATGAAATAATACTCGTAAAGCATCTTAGTCGAAGGAATTATTGGTTATAGTGAACCTTGAATTCAGTGAACGAAAAATGTTAAGAGTTTTACTATAGACGGAGTTGACTGGATTATATTTCGGTCATTCATTGAAGCTTAAGGCGGTAATATTAAACCCTTTGGGGGTTTGAGGAAGCCATTGCAAACACACGTGAACACCGCCTGTGATGAAGTCAAAAATTAAAAAGTGGAGAGCGTTCTGCGGTACATGGGAGTTGAGAGGTGCAGTGTTGTAGAAGACAATGGAACCACCCACAGTGAGTCCTTTGTCACAGCAACAATCGCATCTGGCAGACCGCAAACGACGGCGTGAGTCAATGCTCACACATTCCGTGCATAATTACCAGCCACTAACCACCACGTCATTATTTACTGCATCTCAGAACACTTTTTTTTTACCTGTACCTGTTTGGTGCAACTTGTTTCTATGGGTCTACAATCAAAAATCCGACAACAGACAATGAATAGGACAGTGACTCGAAAGTTTGAAACGTTTTTAAAGCGGCAGCACAAGAGAAAGTAGAATAACACGTTGAAAATAAGAACAAAGAGAGGAAAGGAAAGAAGAAAATGAATGTGAAAGAATTTCGTAAATGACGCCTCTTGAACATTGTGTATCATTCGCGGTACCCTCCTTTCATAAATGATATCGTAAAAAC